CGGTCTATTGCATCGCTCTTCTCAACACTGAGATCAATGAGCCGCTTAATTTATCTTTAATAATAATACTTATTCATTATATGATAATATAACAGTGTCAGCATTGATTAAACCATCAAGGCCTTTCGCCGATTCTTAACCACCAGGCCGCCTTGCTGATTTTGAGTCCGAATTTCCATAACTTTTCTCTGGTCTCGAATTGATTGATGAGCGAAAGGACTGATGGATGAAATGTTTATGAATGAAAAGATTAATGAACGGAAAAATTGACCTAACTTGAGTAAGATTTATTCAAGATTTTAACTTTAATTCAAAGTTTATTTTAAATTATCATACAAATGTATACAAATGAAGTTGCAGTTATTAATAGATATATTCATCACGTCAGTCAAGGCATGGCCTTAATGACACCAAACTTGACAAACTTTTCCATTTTTAGCTCATTTTCTCATTTATTGAAAAAATGCACTATTTTGCTCGTCATGTACGTTTTTCTGTCTGTCCGTCCGTCTGTCCGTGACTTCACGTTTTTGTCGACGAGAAAATGAGCTCTCTGTCACTCACTGCAGTGAGTACTGAGTTATATTTTATGTGAACAGGGGGCGTTCTGGGGTCTGATCTCAGGCTTCGTGGTGGGGGGTGTGAGGATGGCTATGGACTTCTACTACGGCGAGCCTCTCTGCTACGAAGAAGATCTACGGCCTGCTGTACTTAAGGTTTGAGTGGCATGTAGCTCTTTCCTTCTAAAATATCAATCTTTTCATATAACTGTATTCTCAGATTATTTCGGTTATTCTCATCAAGAATCTAGCCGTTAATTTCTTGAACTTGACTTTGAATACTTCGAGAACATAACGTTCAATTCATAGTCTTGGAAAATTATATTGATGGTCATGGAGAGTCATGGGAAAGTCGTTATTTTTTTTCATATCTAATCGTATTCGAGTTCAATCGAAAATTTAATTTCATATGTTATATATATGAAACATATATGTTATATGTGTATGAATATATGTTAATTTGTCCTAATTTTAACTCTTCAATTGACTCTATTTATCTTGCAGCTTCACTACCTGTACTTCGCCATGCTTCTCTTCTGGTTCACGCTCTTCATGTGCTTCTTGGTGTCACTAGCCTCCCCGCCCGTCGAACGATGGAGGGTGAGACAAATTTTACATACTCGAGGTTCTCTGATTCAATTAAATCTATAATTCGTTTTGAAATTGTGTATCAGCTTGATTTTTGCTTGCTGATGATTTGCAATTTGCTGACCTTATTGATTAAATCATTTTAAATAGTAATACTATAAGAAGACCATTTTTTGAGGTCCCGAATATTCGAACTTTTAAATTCGTATAAAATTTGTTGTTTCTTTTGTTGCTGTAAATTTTGTTATGATTCACAGTATTAATTGTTCTGTTTAATTGAGCAGCTAATACGCACCACGTACTGGACTCGCTACGACAAGACAGTGCGGCTCGACGAAGTCAAGCTTGCGGTCGCCAACGCCCTCCTGCCCCTGCAGGAGAACGGCCGAGTCCCGTGCTCTTCTGCGGTCCACGGTGACGCGGACTTGAACCATAGCTTAGACGTTAACGTCGAAACAACTTATGAAGCAACAAATGCAGACGTCACATTAACGTGGGATAAGAATTATGCTGATGGATGTGAGGGAACTGAGGTAAATGTTCCCCTCGCCTGCCACCGCTCCTCGAGTGATCAGGGAGAAGTGCCGCGAGGGAAAAGCGATGTCGTCGATACTAGTAAACTTGGTGAGTGATTTGACTATAAAGCATCAACTGTATCGGTTCTGAGGTAAAACAATTTATCTGCCTCACTGTTTATGAGGTAAAATAGTTAAGCGGCCACGTTGATTTTGAAGTAAAATAGCTCATAGGCTGCATTGATTCTCATGTAAAATATTTCATCGAATACTTTGATTATTGGTTAAAATATTGTGATAGATCATGTCAACCTTTATTTCTAAGTTGATCGTTAAAAATCTGTGATCAAATTCATGCTATTCTTTATGTTTTGAAGTGCGAAGAGATTATAAAGTTGCAAAAAGATTTATAAAGTCGATCACCATTTCTGTAAGTCTTTTTTTAGTCATGGGTTTTGCGCATTTCTTGATTATCTCTCCTCAACGATTCATGCAAATTACGTTTATTTGAAGAAGTTCACTTGTTACTCTATTTGACTTTGTTTTGAACAAAGAATCAAAAGACTTCTGTTGTTCCAGGTAACGGCATTGCTCGACGGCCTTCCTGCAGTAAACAAACTGGGACGTGCAAGAGGCTGATGACCAGACTACTGGGCAGCCGGGCTATTGGACGGCTTTCTGCTTCTGAATATCAGGCGAGTCATACAGTTTTTTATTTCCATGATGATTTTTATTTTTATTACGTTGCTGTATAAAGAATTTTATCTCAAAGCTGGATAAGTTTATAGTTTTGTTCGAGCCTTCGATGGTTGTCTCTTATAGTGAGATTGAGTTGCTAGTTAACGATCCTGAGTCTGCAGGCCACGATCTTGAGGCTCCAGGTCACTTGCTCTAGTCTCCAGGTAACGATCTTGAGTCTCCATTTCACGTCATCCAGTCTCCAAGTTACGATCTTGAGTCTCCAGGTTACGATCTTGAGTCTCCATTTCACGTACTCCAGTCTCCAAGTTACGATCTTGAGTCTCCAGGTTACGATCTTGAGTCTCCCGGCTTGCTAGATCTTAAGTCTCCAGGTCAAGATCTAAAAGCTCCTAGACACGATTATGAGTATTAATTATGACGATGACAATCCAAATGATGACGATGATATTATAGATCATGATCGTGAGGCTTCAATGGTCAGGTTCTTGACCGAGATCTTGGTTCTGTTTACCGCAGCCTACGCAATTAAGTTGTCTGTTCATTATTAAATATTAGAACGTATAGTTCTGATCGGTGCAGCTATTGACTATTATTTAACGTATAAAATGTTGCGTGCCTTTCACTGTGTGCATATGGAGTTAATTTGAAATTCATGAGCTTCTTGACCAATTAATGTAGATCAAAGTAAGAGGTTCTATCTTGAAATATTTATTAGACCGGAGCTTAACAATGACGTTCCAAGGACTGATCATGGTTTTCCTGATAGCTAATATTTGTCTAGTATCGATAAATTAATCTAATCCTAATATTATTGAAATCATTGCCCGCGTGTTTTGATGGAAAGGAAAGAAGTCTGAAAGCCTTAGTTAAACTTTTGTTTTTATGGAGGTACTTTGCGTATTGCAGGATGTTGCGGCAGACTGTGGAGAACCCAGCACTCTGCTGACCTCCCTCCACCAGGAGCCCTGGGAGGAACGTCTTCTGAACTGCCTGCTGGTGCTGATGTGTGTGNAATTTTTTTTTCAATATTAAAAAAATTGAAAAAATAATTTTGTCAGCTCCAAATCTTATAACTGATATCTGACACACTTTTATCCGTCTGATTGATCTGAAATTTTGCACACTTGTGTGGAGTCAGAGGCAATACAGGAATCAATTAATAGAATAAATAATTTTGAAAAAAATTAATATATTAAAAAATTTATATATTAAAAAAAATTGAAAAACTAACTTTTTTAATATTTGAAAATTAAATGAGAAATTCATTGTACATTTTTAAGATTGGAGACACTGGATTCTTTGGAAGTGTTGTCTTTAAAAATTAATTTTTAAACGCATATTATTAAACTTCTATTGATCGAGACATGCCAGTTTATTTGTTGTTGCAATGCTTGTGTTAAAAGAGAAAGAATCTCCCAATCATGTATCTCAGTGGCATCCATTTTCGGACGTTATTATTGTTCCTGTCGAACCCTAACACACTCTTGCATTATCTGCGTCATTTTTGGGCATTAGTTTATCGTGTACAATCCTATAGTGTTTTTTTTTGTGCTGAACAAGTCGCGTGTGCTTTCCTGTAATGAATTGCTAGAACAAATACATTAAAACATTTGGTGTAACTTATTTTCGACAGTACGGTATATTATCTTGAACATGTTGTTTTCATTCATCCCTCTGGTCCAAGTCATATTGTATTTTATTTATCCCTCGTAAACAGTCTAATACAGATAAGGAGTAGCGGACAGGTGTTGCGTCCTATAGGTTGGGTCTGAAATGTTTCCCTCTCGCCACTGACAGTTAAGATCTTGCAGTTAACAGGAGAGAGCATTGCGCGTTTGTCGTGGAGACATAGGCCTATATTAGAAATGAGAAAAATTTTATAGGCAGTCGTGCTCTCCAGATTTGGGCCCACAGGACTACGTTCCACGCGTATATTCCAAAAGTTTATTGAATTTAATGAAAAACTGTATCAGTGCTCAAAAACCTGTTTTTAACCTGGAAACTGAATTAAAAACAAGCATATGCAGTACTTTTACTTATATTATCACCTCGTAAAAAA